TACAGAGGCAGAAGGAGACCCCGAGCTTGCGTTTGAGACCAGACGCAGAGTGGCCGATTCTATGAAGAGCTCTCCCAAGCAGACAGTTGCAATGAGCAAGTGGGCTGTGATAAGGATAATTTAGGGGAAGGCGGTGCAAACAAGGAAAAAGACGATGAAGGAGAGCTCTGGTTGATGAAGAGCAAATCGAGGAAGAAAGGGAAGAAGAGGAAGAAGCAGCTTCTGTGCCCCCAAGAAAATCACAAAGAAAGAGGAAGCACTCCCCAGTCATTGAGCCTGAAAAAAGGAAGAAGCCAAAACAAAAGACTGACATGCAGGCTAAGAAAAAGGGAAAAGAAAAGGTTGCTGCAGGGCCATCAGAGTTTTTACGATTTGTTGATGCTGCAGCGTCAGAAAGGTTTGAAAACCTCAAGGAGCGAACCTGCTAGGAGAAAGGGGATTCCCGTCTGACTCATCCATGCCCCCGTTTGTCTCCGCCACCGTCAATAAGCATGAGTGGCAAACCTTTTGCGCACAGCCCACGCCTACGATCGTCCAAATTGTCCAAGAATTCTACGCCAACCTCAACCCTAGTGACCTTTCCAAGGTGATGGTAAGGGATAAGAAAGTTTGCTGGAACGCAGAAGCAATCAACGAGGTATACAATCTCCCCAACTACTCTCATGATACCTTTAATGAGATGATGGTTGCTCTATATGAGGAGCAACTAAACAGGGCTATCAAATGCATCGGCGTAAAGGGCTCAAGATGGCAGCTATCAGCTAGAGGAGCGCGCACTTTTCTTCCGGCCTACCTTAAGCTCCAATGTCTGGTATCATCTGGTGAAAAGTAAGCTATTGCCCACAACGCATGATACCTCCATCACAAAGGAAAAGATGCTCCTCCTACTCTGCATTATGGAAGGGCTTAGCATCGATGTAGGGCAGCTCATTGAGAGAGAGATTTCAGAGGTTGAAAAGAGGAAGTAGGGCAACTTATATTTCCCCAATCTAATCACAGAGCTTTGTATCCTTTCGAGGGTCAAGATGGAAAACACAGACCAAACGCTAAATTTTTGGCGCCGTTGCCGGGGACTTAATTTTCAAAATCATATTATTTTTTTCAAATGAATTGTTTCATAGTGTGATTGTTGCATGCCTCTGTTCCTTGAGATTAATTGTTATATCTAACCTTAACGGGCCAATTTTTTTAGCATAAAGGCTTTCTTGCAGGAGTCCCTAAAGAGTTAAGGCAAGAATAGAGGTCAAGAAAACAAAAGAAAAACTGAAAAAGAGAAGGAAATGAAAAAATAAATACGAGGTTACTTGTATCGAGCCAACAACAAACAGGAGTGTTGGAAATGGAGTCTCAATTTATGTATAATCTTCCAATGGGAAGTAACATACCCATAGCTCCTGTGAATCAATTATGTTGTTTATATTGCGGTGATATTCGTCATTCATTGGAATATTGTCCATCTAATCCTTCATCTTTTTATTATCCAGGTCAACAAGGGAACCAAAAAGAATTCAACCATTATTCAAATCCATACAACCAAGATTGGAGGGATCATTCGAATTTCCCGTGGGGAGAGCTTCAACCTGAAAGTATATTCCATCCGTATGAGCATGCATTCCTACAAGAATTCCCGTCACAACCTCAACAGGAATACAATCAACCATGGATGCCAGAACAAACGCTATTATTGGAAATTTCTAGCCTTGAACAAACTATGATAAATTTTGTGGCAAGAACTGATGAAGTGTTACATAGGCTGCAGAGCCAAATTGAGCAAGCTAAGTGGCCGATGAGTTGAAGAATAGTCCACCAGAAGCATTGCCTACCAATATGGAAGAGCAAAGTGAGACATTCAATGAAAGGAGCTAGCTTGAAGATGACGAACTTGAGCTCCCAATAGACAATGATGATCCACCAATCCCTGAAGTGATAAATGAGGTATGAAAGAATAAGGAAGTTGAACCCGAGAAACCGATGGAGGTAATGGAGCATGAGCTTACAATGGACCTAAACCCGTCACCTCTAAATATTGGACCGCTTTACCCTTTCCCTCGATGCTCTTTAGAGATAACCCAATACATACAGAAGGAAGAGTTGACCAAACCTATCGAGGATCAAGTAAATGAAGAACTAGGAGAAGATGTGATAGGTTCAGATGAAGGATTCTACGTTAAAGTTTCATCCCAAATTCCAATTTTCAAAAATCAATGCATACAAGTCACCTACCCCTCGAGCTAGACCTTAAAGCATATTGTGCTCTGAAGGAGCGAAACTGTGACATGATAGTAGCAGAAGAGAGATCAAATGAGCTTGAGGAAATGAGTGAAAGTTGAAAGCCTCCAACGTTCTTGAAAGTAAAATCAATAGGAGGATTGAAGTTCCCAAGAAAATAAGCAAGGCATAAGGCAAAGAGCAGCAAGCATTATTCCATAAGAAGGAACAAAACAAGACTTAAATATGAAATGCCTAGAAAAAGTGCCACTTGGTGGCCCTTTTTTGTTTTTGTTTTACTCATCGGATTAATTAAGGGAGTTTTCTAACCCTTGTTTTGTTGCTGATATAATGTTGTTTTGTTCATGTGTGCTTAGTCATGATATTTTCTAGGTAGAAATATTTGCATAAGCTAGACAGCATGCTGAGATGTTTTGTGGATAACATATATCATGTTTAGTCTTACAAGTTAAGGTCATATAAGCATTAAAATTCTATGTACCCCAGGCACATTATCATACTTCATGCCTTGTGTGCTGCTGCTAAAACTACTGTCTATTTGTTAAGCATGCCTAATCATAAAAAAAAACAGTGAAAACAGTCCATTGGTCGTGTTGAGGGCATTTTTGTGCAAAATATTTTTTTGTCTTCTTTTTGCAAAATTTTTACATTTTCTTTAAGGTTTTTTTGTGTAGATTCCAAATCTAATTTTTGTTTTTGCATTTGAATTTTGCAGGATCAAGATCCGACCTTCGTCAAAATTGCGTCAGGCGCAATTTAAGAGAATTTGCGATTTTTGAGTTATGGATTAGGGCTTTCGTGGGCTTAATGTGGGTTATGTTTAAATGGGCTTTGGGTTGTTTTTAAATCAAAAGGAAACCCAATTTTAAACCCAATTATGTTTTTAATATGTTTTAAAACATAAAACAAAAAGCCCTAGAATTTGAAAACACCCCATTCACGATTTTTCACCATGATTTTCTCACTTGTTTTGAAATCTTCTCTCAAGAAATTTCAAAGAATCTCAAATAGGAGTGTGATAAGAATCTCAAAGAATCTCAAGAAATCTCAATGAGTTGGGTAGATACGAATATTGACCCCATAAATGGGAGTGTGATACTACCACTGTAGATTTGACAGTGAACCAAAAAATGGGAGTGCGACCAATGCAAACCACGGTAAATAATGCCATTGACCCCAAAAATAGAAGTGCGATACTATTGCAGACCATTATAGATACTGTCATTGACCCATTTGTAAAAGTGCGACACCAGTGTCGACCACAACTCACCATTAAGGTAAGGAGTTCAAAGTAATGATTCCAATTCACATTCATTCGTTTCCATCCAATTGCAGAATAGTCATATGCACTAATTTCATCCTTCATTACAAAGTTGATTGAGAACAATCCAACTATCATATAGACGCTCCTTGATACTTTATAATTTCGACATATGTGTATCTTTACCAAATATTATTTTGGGACATATACAACCCAAGAAGTTGACGCTAAATACAGATACAAATACCTTTTCATGGGAGATGTGAAGAATGGGAAGAGTAGGAAGAAATCCTTCAAAAGACAAATTAAGAACCCAATAATCTTATTTACCCTCCCACCTATGAATTTTAAATTTAAATGTTGGAAAAACTATTAAATTTCAAAATGTACATTAATAAAATTATAATAATTTTTTTTGTTTATCTAGTTTCAAAATTTAATTTCAAAACATAGAGCATCAATTTCTAAATTAGATTTTAGTGGTTTAAATTTCGTTCTTCATTATTTGATTAGTTACAATTCATTACCTAAGTCTATTTTTGTTAATTTAATTTTTAAATTAGGATTTAGTTGTTTAAAATCCTTAAAATTAAACAAATATACCTAATTTGTTAAAAAAGTATATTTATCTAAAATATTAGTCGAGATTCTAAAAAAACTCCACTTTAACCATTTGTGTAAATAAATATTAAAACACCTTATTTATTTTAATCATTTCCTATATTTAGCCTTCTCTATATGAATTTATAATAATATTAACATTCATTTTACATCAAATTACAAAAAGCTTGAATATTGCATAGAAGTTGTTAAAGGGCTCGGTCAACTTTTTATTTTCCATTTCCAATTTTTCTAAAATATAAACATTTTGTAACTATTCAGGTTTCTTATTTCTTATTTTGAAATAGTTTCAAAATTGTATAGGAATTTTAAAAACAAGTTTCTCGTTTCTGTTTTTAATTTATTCAAAAACATAAATAAAATCATTATTTTATCGTTCTTGTAACATGAGTAAATAAATACTAAAAAATAAATATAACATAAAAATTTTAGAAAATAAGTAACAATAAATGGGTACCAAAATATTAGGTTTCTTTTCTTTCAGCACAAATAAGAAAAAATAAGAAATAAAAAACAGTTTCCTAACACATCTCTATTTTTATCTATTTTCATTTATTTACAAGAAATAGAAACGTTACGATCCTAAATGATCATTCATGCTTTTGACCTCCCTTCCATGTCTCAACTTTCTTTAATTAGCCTTTAAATGAGGTTGGGAATCAAACGTAAAAATGTTGAGCTTCTATTTTAGACAAAACAAGAATGCAAAGGCAAACCCTAGTAAGTGAAGAAAAAATGAAATAACAAGGAATCTATGTGAAGGGCAACACAATGTTACATGGGCAGCCAATTTCCCACAAAGAGATGTATGTAACCATTTTTTAGCCAACATAAACATAAATGCCTAGAACATAACTCCAGTCTCCTAGGTGAGTCATAGAGATTGTCGATAACAGTTCAGTGGCTTCTCGAGAATATATACATATAAAATGTATACTTTAAACCATTTAAAAATACCAAAATGCTTGTAATTCAAAGATCACATGACTGAAGACTTTAGAAAAATATAATTAAAAGGAGAGAAATAAGTTAAAAGTGGAAACAGTTATTATTAACGGGATCTGGTAGGACGACAAACATGATTTCTCTTCCGAGCATGGTCTTCGTTATGGTGCTGAGTCCTACATGCATATCCATACCAACAATTTTCCCTTCCGGTTGCATCCCCTGGAAGAAGCTGCCACAGTCCACACAACAAAACAATGATTTAAGCCTCCTTGAGTGGAAGCTTGAATCTTATTCTAAAACACATTTTGTTCTCAAAATGCTTAAAAGCACAATAAATAACTCAAAAACTTTTCAATGCTTTCGAAGTTAAGCTCGAATAGTAAAATTGCAATCTTGATTATATAGGTAGATGATATCATCAAAAAAGAGATGATTTGAGAGAGACAATCTTACAAAGATCTAACTATTATGAACATTATCAAGTGATGTCTAAATAACCCTAACCCCATGTGTCAATTTCTTCTATTTGCTTAGTGTCTCCAAGTGTCGAGTTGACCCATATCCATGTGGAGAGGTTATTATAGTTGACAGGAGCATGTATCAAAGACTTGGGTGAAGTTAGTCTATCTTTCACATACTAGACCAGACATTGCACCAATGCTAGTAGTTGTCAAAGACTTGGTCATGGATAGTCGTCCATGAAGTTGTCGAGCAGTTGGCAGAGCCCTATATTGATGCTAGTTAGGGTGGAGAGTTAACTGATAAGAGATCTCAACTGGCTATTGCTCCTATTGTTGGAGCAAAAAAACGCAACTGTAGTGCAAAGCAGTGCAAAAGTTGAATATCGACGCACGTGCTCAAGCAATTTGAGAAGGAACATGAACTCAAAAGCTTTTGAAGGAACATTAAAAAATGTTTTTATTATAGTTGTTGAGACATCCATAAATGAATTAAATTTACCAAACCCATTAACTTAAGCTTTTGGGTCGAGTCGTGGCTTATTCATCTTTAAGAATAGCATCAAACATAGAACGGAATCCTGTGTATGAAGATAGAATGATACATGTAGAGATAGATCACAATTTCACATCACTGAGAAGGTAAACTCGTTCACATTCTCATCAATTACCAAGGACAAGCTTTGAAAAATCCAACTCCAAGCACTACTGAATCCTGTATGTAGTTCAACTTAAAGGGAGTGTAGATTTGTATTAAAAATATATTATCTTTAATTGAGTTAGTTGTTTATTCTAACTTGTTTAGTTATTTGTCAATCTTTTCTTTTATTTCATAATCAATATCGTTTTGATTGAGGAAATCTCTCTGACTATAGCAAGATTCTTTATTTTTTCATTTTACAGGGTATTACGAATTAAATATAGAATCACAACATTCCATGCAAAAAATTAAGAAAAATAAAGTGACATTGGAATTGCTACCAACATCGTACTCACATATTTTGGTGTTGAAATGCGAAACCAGTAGAGGAGAAATCCCACCAATTTGTCATAACACTCACTTCATTAGAAAAACAAAAAAATTGAAAGTGATTAGAACGCGTACTATACTGCACCAAGAAAAAGAAAAAGAGGCAAAAAAAAAGGATGCCAAACATAGCTTTAAAGTGGTACACAATACACATTTGAAATTAAGTATAATATATATATTTGCGGATTAGAATTTTATAACCTTCCTAATTCATACAGCTAATATTGCAAGACTCACAAAATCCCCAATGCACAATACGTTCCTAGTCTTATGGTGCACTACTTAGAAAAGAAAGCCAAGGTCGAGTAAGCCGGATGGCTAACTCATAGTTGCTGCATGGTGTCACAATCATGATTCAACAAAGTTTGCAATGCGATTTTGTGACACTTACCCTGCTTATAATCAAATCAACCAATTCGAAATGTTGCAACCAACAGCACAAGTAGTCTATTTTGCAATATCCACTTGCATTTCGAAAAACGGTTTTCAAAAACATGGTTGGAGAAAGGGTTTTCCATAATGAATGGAGTTAAGGTAAGTATGCTCTCCTCTCTCTTCTCTCTTCCCCCTCTTCGACAGCAGATGAAGCAAGCTTGTTTGGTCATTTCATCTTAGGAAATTTGTTTTCTTCATTGGTTTGCTTTGGTGGTGAAATCTTTGAGTTTTAGTTTACAGTAAGTTCTTCACCATGGATTCAAGGAGTTGTCGAGTTGCAAACAAGTCTTTTTTTCATCCATTCTTTGCCGAACAATTTTTTCAAGTTGGAAGAGTTTTTTGATAATCGGCAGTTTAATATTTCATTCCACAAGAGGCAGCTCATTTGGTTTGAAGAGCCTATTGTGGATTTGATGCAACATCCATTGGAAGCTAATTTTTTTAGACAAGCAAAAGGAGAATTCGGTTTTTGTAGACTTGTGAAAAGTTTTTAACAAGCAAGGTTGTTGTTTTGATTTGCATTTTGATCCCTAAATCAGGCATGAGAGGAAGAATTGTGGTCCTGTTAGACAAAAGAAAAGAGGATGGCTAGTCTTCCGGGAAATGATAAAGGTTTCTATCTCTCTTTCACTAAATAAGGCTGATATTCCGTGCAAGTCTGATTTTCAAGCCTTGGAGAGTTCTCAAAAGTCGCTTGAGTTGGTAGGTGCATCTATTCTCCGAAAAGATGTTGATTAGGGCTTTTGGGTTAGAAAAGAAAGGGGTGTGGTCAGAATGGACTGGAATTATTTGATGGTTAAAGCGCATGATAATTGGAAGGAGATAGCTATAGCTTTGAAAAACCACTTTAAAGTTGATTGTTTTGTTAATCCTTTTTATGGCCGATAAAGCCCTATTAAAAATGGAGGACAGGAGGGTCCTAAAATATCTGGGAGTTAAAGGAAAATGGAAGAGAATTAGTATCTTTCATGTGATATTTGAGAAGTGGTCAAATCTAAAGCATAGCAAACCTGAGTTTGTGATGGACTATAGTGGTTGGATTGATATTTTGAACTGACCTTTAAGTTACTGGAATCGTAGTTGCTTTGAAGCTCTTGGAAGTCATTTTGGTGGTTTGGTTGATTGTTCCTCTCAAACTTTGAATATGCTAAATTATGAATCGATCCGTATAGGAGTGAAGAAGAATTTATGTGGTTTTCTCCATACTGAGATTGAAATAAAAGACCCTCGTTTGGGAAGTATTTTTGTAATAGTAAAAGATTGTTGCAATTTGGAAACTGTTAGACCTCCAATTGTGAAGACTTATAGTAGAAAGGGTAAAGAAGTAATTGGAGGGTTGTTAGCCATAACGGCCAAGAGAGAGAAGGTACTAGCTACGAGTAGGGAGCGAGTAAGCTTTAAGGGAGGGAATGTCGTTAGGGAGGGATCATTCTTGTTTTCTGTGTTTTGTGGCTTAATAGCTAAGTCTGGAGAGGTTCCCCACCCTCTTGAATTGGTGGGTTGTCTTTTGTATTGCCTTCGGGCCTTATCGTTCATTTTGAGTAAAGAAATCTTGTGAGGTGATACCTCACAACTTGGTATCAGAGCAGTTTCAACCTGGGAAAGCGTCGGAAAATAACGCAGAAAGAGCTAGAGAAGAGGTGAGATGCTACCAAAAAGGATGTCGTTGGATTGAAGGACACAATTTCGGAGCTCAACCAGAAATCCAATGAATAGCGAAAATGACGGAGAAATTGCAGAAGACTTTGGAGGCGTTCATTACTGAAGTTACCAGGGAAATCGGTCACTGTTGCCGTCCTCCTCGATTGTCTGGTGAATTATCCGTACAGAAGGGAAAAGCTCAGATGGGAGAGATGCCCGAGAACAATCCGGGAAATCAGGGGAACGATCGAAATCGCTTCAATAAGGTAGAAATGCCGATATTCACTTTAGTTTTGAAAGGTATTTCACCCCATGGAGTTGATGGAATAGATCAACAATGATGGGCAATGGGTACTGTGAATGGTGAGTTTGTTGAATGGAGATTGCCAGTCTTTCTTCTTTTGAAAAAGGACTAAGGTTTTGTAAGGAGTGGGCACTTATGCAGTTGAGGCACCAAAGTACTGAGTGGTTGCTTCCAAAGCCATCCAAGAGGAAGACAAGCCATTTGAGAGTCTCGTATGAGAGAGGGTGTAGAATCCCTAGGGAGCATCAAGTTCATATGGGTAGGACATCGTTCAAGGTTTTGTTTTGATAGAAGACTTCGATACCTCTCATAAGTACATATGCTTTGAGACGTAACATGTATGGTGTCACAAGGTCAGGGAGGCTTCCTTTGATGAATTCAAGTGAAAAAACTGAGAATCAAATATAGATTACCTGCAGATATGTGAGTTGAATTAGTTAGAAGTTAAGATTATGTGGACTTAGTTAGAAGTTGTTCTAAAGTTGTTTAGATTTTGTGTTTAAATTTAGCAAATAAATCTCCTTTTTTGTGAGGGAAGTTAGGAGGTTATTCCTAGATTTTGTTTCCTCTTGTAACCTATAAATAGTGCCTCTATTCCTCATCTTTTATCAAATTAATTTGAGAATTTATTTCTTCTCTCTTTTCTCGTGTATGTCTCTCTGGTGTCTCTATCCTTAGTTTTTATGGTATCAGAGCTAGGTTTAGATTGACACCAGAATGGTTAAAACAGCCATGATGACTGATTTGCAGCAAGGGACAAGAGGACACGGATTGTGTTTAATTTTGCAACGGGTGCAAAGTCTACCCCAAAAGTCTGAGAGTATCCTTTGGCCACCAATCTTGCTTTATACCTTTCAATGGACCCATCAGCCTTATATTTGACAGTAAAGATCCATCGGCATCCTACCGTTGGTTTATCTTGAAGACGATCAACTACTGTCCACGTATCATTAAGCTTCAAAGCCTTCATTTCATCATCTACCGCATTTTTCCACTGTGGATTGCTCATAGCCTCTTGAATGGATTTTGGTAYCTCATTGGCTTCCAGATTGAGAGCCAAGGTCTGAACTGCTGAAGATAAATGACTATAACATACATCGAGCAATTGGATGTTGAGTACACGATCTCACACCCTTCMTAAGTGCAATAGGAAGATCAAGATCATTAGTATTGTCTTGAGGCACAAGGGTAGATTGTTCAGTACCTAAGGACGAGATGGATTCATGACTTTGYTGTTAAGGCTGTGGTGGCTCCACTCCTCTTTGAACCGTTTGTCGCYGAGAATAAACAAGAGTCTCAGGTTGCTTGTCACTTTGATTTGGGTTCACTTGATCATCTTCATTATTACAGGAAATAATAGGAATTGACTCTTCCATCTGAGTAATTGGGACGATCGGGATAGGTATTTTTGGCTGAGGTGACTCGGTATTTAGACCATCAATCTCGGGCATTTTTGACTGAGGGAACTCAATTCTGGTATTTAGATCGTCAATCTCCCAAAAATTTCCATCAAGACTACTTGTAATAGGCTCAGTCTCCCCCTGAGGGGAATTTAGGGAGAAAAAAGATTGAGACTCAAAAAATGTGACACCCATGGTAGTGTAAAATTTATTGGTGAATGGACAATAGCATTTATAGCCTTTTTGAGTAGGAGAATAACCAAGGAAGACACACTTTCTGGCTTTT